TATACTAGTATCAGTTCATTGCCTCTTGCCCAATTTAGAAGGTGATAAACTATCCACATAACCTTCTATTATAGGAAACAGTAAATTTTGTTAACAAAATGAGGTAAGAAAAGTTACTAAACCAACTAAGGTGCATGAGTCATCCAACCAAGGATTGGTGAAAACATACATCATCCAAGCACAACAATGAAAATTGACCATATTATATTACACACGAAGCTGTGTCTCACAATGCAAAAAGACGAATATTCACAAAATCCTTAAACACTGAGGGCCCAAAAATAAGACAAAAAAATACAACCAGTCCCATAATCTTTCATAACCTCTCATGTTTGTCCTCAAAGATCTTCGTATTTCTCTCCATCTAAATGTCCCAAATAGTAGGGAAACACAAAAAGGGTCTTCATCCTTCCATTTTCCAGGACTCATATATCCAAACAAATCATAGATGACATGGACATGGGGCCACCCAACAAAGTTCCACAATATCAAACAACTTATTCCATAGTGGAAGTGCCATGAGACAATGCCTACAAAAAATCCACGATCTCATTATCATTTTTAAACATTACACTCCACTCTGGGAGGAGATAAATCTTGGGTCGCCTTTGAAACACATCATTTGTGTTGACCCATAACTTTGCACCTTTAAGGGGCACATTGGCTTCCCAAATCTTCAATGATGAAAGGAATAGTGAAGTGAGAAATCATGAATGACGGCTCAAAGAATTCTTTACATGAAAACACACCAGTTGGATCAGTTATTCAACATCTTTTATCAAGCTGATTTTGGGTCAAGGAAACACTAAAGCACATAGAGAAACACCAATAACTCCAAACATCCTTATTATGAAGACGTTTGTCAAAACCAAAATCCTAGGAAACAAGACAAGAGTAGGACCAAACAAGAGATGCAAGTCAATGAACAATATAGCAAGCAATTCGATAAAGACGAGGAAATAAACTGTAGAGTGAAGACTCCCTAACTCAAGTATCCTACCAAAAATGAACCCTTGTTATATCTACCAGAGTAAACTTAACACTTAACCAAGTGTAGTGAAAAGCGAGCGAAGCGAGCCAGGCGAGAAAAGCGAACGCCTACTTCCAATTTTTTTATTTTCTCCTCCTCCTTCTTTAACATTAACCAAACCCTAGCAAAGATAATGTTATATGCGTATATATATAACATAAATTGATTGATTCGTGTAACGACGTCATATGACAACATGTCTTATTATGATTAGATAATGTTGAACGATTTGTTTTGATGTGAATGCTCTTATTAATCAATTTGTTTGGTTAATCAAATTGATTAATCAATTTGCTATATGTTGTATTTGATCAATTAATTTGTGAGTGCTTTGTTTAGTGGTGATATTAATCAATCACGGTGGAAGTTGAACCCACATTTGTTAACTTTATATTTAGATGACGTGATTATGTCAATTGATTATTTTTAGAATACAATATTGTTCAATATTTAATATCTTGTCTATTTAAAATATGTTAATATTTATTATTTTGATTGCATTTAAATATTTTGTATTTGTAAAGTTAAAATTTGAATATTTGGAAGTAATCAAAGTATGAAACTAAAATATTTGCTTATTTTTTATATTGTTCGTTTTGCTTCAATGAAGCGCTCGCTTTACTTCTTGCTTCTCGTCTAGGCCTTCAGGAGCCCAATTCGCTTTAATTCGCTTTACACCTTAAATAACACTGACTTAACCCACTAAGAAACGTAAAGTAACTCCTGGGAAATGAGCTTCCAAGGACTCCAAAAGCTATCCCTTTCAACTCCATTAACATCCCACCTATTAGAGCATCTCCCACCCTCACCCTTTTCTAAAATCCAATGCAATACCCAAACTAATATCAAATCAAGAGAGACTCAAACCTTTACTCAAATCACCAATGGTCAGATTTCATTTTTCATTAAAGATCTAATGGTCATATTCTATCCTCTTTCAAATTTTAGTTTGTCCTTATTTAAATTTGGATTTTCCTTCTTTTAACTTCTTTGAGTTTTTCTATTGAAATTTTTTAAATCAAATCAAGTTTTTTACTCAAATTTGAGTAAAATGTGAGTCAATGTTCGAGATGCTCTTAGTTTGTATCTCATATTTGCTACCACAATGAATCTTGCTCATGGGAATCTGCAAAGCATTTCCTAACCAAAGCTAAATTCATCTTTAACAAATTCCCAACAGAACGATCGTCTTTAGCTTTTGGCCTAGACACAAGCTCCAACTAAATCAAGTGATCCTCCTACCCTCCCCCATTCCATCTCGTAAGAAGTCCCTCATCCAATCCTCAATCTTCCTAGCAACTAAACAAGGTATTTTAAAAAGAGACATGAACTTAACTACAATAGCAGCCACAACAAAAAGAACCAACATTAATCTATCTGCCCTTGAAATAAAGGTTTTCTTCTACCCATATAATATTTTTTGAACTTTCTCAATAACAAGATCTCAAAAAAACCTAGACATTGGATTACCATCTAAGGGGAGACCTAATACTTCAATGGTCAATTCAAAGCCAACTTTATTTTTCTTCCCTTAACTAGAATTTATATCCAATTATGTTGTCAGCCGTATTTAACTTGAGACCAGAAATAAACTTCAACAGTCTTTTTAAAGTTTTTGAATCCTCCATCACCAGAAAAGAACATAGTCACAACTTTTTAACTCCCAATCACAAAACAACCGACCAAACTACCCCTCAACCTTCTCCGTTGGCCTACTCAGTCCATCTATCGCTGAAGAGAACAAAAAAGGTGACAAAGGATCACTTACCTCAACCCTATAAAGCGTTAAATTAACTCCTAGGCTTCACATTCAATACAACAGCGAATTATTGGCCAAGTTGCCTCAACGTCTAACATACAGCAAACGTCCAATGGCCCACAGTAAACAACATCTCTGGAATACCAGAATTCTAGAAAATCACGAGCAGTAATGGAAGAATTCTGCAGAATGCATTTAGCAAAACCCATTAAATATAATCCCTACTCAACCAATCTACAGATAGATGCTTAAGTTTGCAATGATCTGTTCCTTCTTTTATCCAAAAGGTTAACAAACTAGAGAATGGGGGCATAACCACAAACCATCAAGTACTCACCTACAAGGCTACAAGTCAAAGAAAATCAGAGGAACTAGGAAAGAATTACCAGAGAATTAAAATCCCCAACAGACATTCCATGCAAACTAGGTGGGCCAGTTCCCCGGCCTAAGTTTCCTCGATGAAAAAAATATAAAAAGAAAAAAGGAGAAATTTCTGAGAAATGGATGATAGAACTTAACAAAGAGAAACCAGCATGTGATTCTAAACCGGTCTTCTCTATCCAAAAACCCATCAAGTGAGAGAAATTGTAACATCAAAAGTTAGATTCATCCACCGGACCAACTCTCAGCAACACTTTCCATGGACAACCACAAAACCTTCCTAGAACTCTTAAACTAGGTTGAGTACAAAACCAATTACGACATTCCATGCCACACAATCTGACACAAGCAAAACCCTCATACAGAAGATTAGGGCAACTACATTAAGAAGAAAATTTCCAAGGTGTTAACCCAGATGAAAGCAAAGCCTGAATTGGTTAGCGAATAATATGTGATTCACAAGACTTGAAAACTAACACAGAAACCATGCCAACCAGATGCATAAAGTATGCCAAGTGCCTCTAAAAGTCACAGTCAAGGTGCATAAACTAACAGTGCATTAAGAAGAACTACCAATGACCTCATAATACACAAATATAAAAGTTCTCTTAAAAAAACCAGCTAATAAACAAATGACCAAACAATCTGAATAAACAATTTCTCTGGAAAAAAAAATGACATAAATATAAATTAATCAAGCTGTCAGTATTTGAATCAACAGAAAATTACTTGGCTGAAGCCATGGAGAAGCCAACGTAAACATTCCAAGACAGTTGCCATGGTCAACATATTTTAACCCCAACCCCCCCAAAAAAAAAAAAAAACAAAACTGAGAGAGGAAAAACCCAAAAAAAGAAGGCAAGCCCTACCCCCACCAAAGAAACAGAGAGATGGAGTCAGATAAACAGGACATACATGATTATGCTTTCCCTACCCCCACCAAAGAAACAGAGATGGAGTCAGATAAACAAGGCATACATGATTACGCACCCGAATTGATTTAATGGCTGTATCAACATCGGAACAGGATGTAGAGGAGTCTAAAGCACCATGTAGAATAGAAAAACAAACTCCCAGGAACAGCTTTCAAGCTGCCAACATACAGAGGTTAAACAAAAAATCAGTGAGATATGAAATTTATGTGAATTCAAATATGTTTAGAGTATAGACACTGAAGTCTTTCTTTAAGATAGCCCATCAAAGAATAGAAACACTTCACCTGATTTGGTATAAAACGAGGAGCTGCAGAAGATCTGCTCAACCAAGTCATCTAGTTGACAATATTCTCATCTATCAATTAACCAGAAAGCCAATTTAGTATCAAACGTATGTTAGATGGAGACTGCCAAGACCCTCAGATTCATTTTTTCCATCCAAAAGAATAAATAACTAGATCAATCAACGGTACAAACTGGAGTTTTCTACCTGCAAGATTCTCAAATTCACAGCACATAAACGAATAATTCGCAAGGTTAAAAAAAATAATGTTTCAGACCCGATAATGTTCAAATGTGACGAGCACAACTCAAGGCAATAAGATCCCTTCACGACCACATGGTTGCTATATCCTATAAACAACAAAAACCCCAGCATAGGAAAGACAATTATTACCAGTAAATCTAGCAGGAAGATCAGCATAAAGTTGCATTCAAGACACTAGCTCAGGAAATCCTCATTTATCCATTTCAGCTGCCAGCAGTAAAGACAGACTTCATTAAACAGCTATCAATCATACACTCATCGAAAAAAACTAAGTTCTTAAAACATGAAACTGAGCAACAGTATTAAAATGGTCAAATAACAGCTAAAGGTCCTAACACAGCAACGCATTTAATGGCCAACGCCCTTTTTTGCTCTAAGCTTTTTAAGAGCCTTTTCCCGTAACTCGATCTCAAGCCTTTTCTGCTCAGATTCATTCTCTTCTGCATAACTGGCATGCGACTTCAGCCTTTTAACATGTTCACCATCAGTAGAATCATCATGATTTTTCTCACTATCTGGAAGTAGAGTAACAGTATCAACTAACTTCAATTTTCGCCTCTCTGCACGCCTCTCTTCCCTTCTGCGGTGTCGCTCCTCCCGCCGATGACGCCTTTGCTCCTTCCTCAATCTCTTTTCCTCCTTCCTCCTCCTTTTAGCCTCCTTCCTCTCAACAATTTGGGAATCACTACTAGAATCATCATCGGATGCCACCTCTTGCCTTTCCGATCGTTTATGCTTTCTCTTTTCCTTAACTTGAGCTTTGTGCTTATCACTTTCCTCGGAGCCAGAATCCATAAAACCTCTTCGATTATTCTCAACTTTTTTGGCCAAGTTCAGGACAGTTTCGGATTTTTGACGCTGATCACTGTCCTTTATATCTTTTGATGGAGAATGATTCTTCCTATCAGCTTTGTAACCACCTCGACGGTATGATTCTGGGTCTCTCTCACTTTTCAAAGTGTCTTTATCAATTGCCGGTGAACCTCGTGGAACAGGAACTGCAGGATGAAGTAACTCAGGAAGGTTTCCACTGTCCCATGCAAATTAAACCAATACATCAGATGAATTCTTCTGTGCATGCAACCATACATAGAGAAAAGATGTACAACAGTAACAATAGCAAACCTCTTTGTTTCTTGGCCTTGCTTTCTCAACTCCTTGCCCTCAGGGTGGCCCCAGGTTTCATCAGAGCGATGACTAGCTACTCTTTCAGGCGAATATTTGTTCTTGGGGCGAACCTTCTCAAGTTTATCTTTAAGCTCACCAGCTGCAGACGAATGTGAAGGCCTTTTCCCTGAATACTTAAGTTTCTGATCCCTATCCTCCCTAAATCCAAAAACAAAAAACAAATAAACAAGTGACCCAAAAATATAAATATTCAAACATTCCACATCATTATTAGAACAAAAAGGGTTCATGATTCATCAAAAGTTAGACATGGCTAAGGCAACCTGGCATAAGAAGTTTCTTTCTCCTCTGCACTTGTCTCTGCACTGTCATGATGAGGTTCACGCCCTCTAGCTCTTGGTGCAGGACTTGAGCTGCCATCACGAGTCATCTGTATTTTTGTTTGTTTCACAGGGGATTTATAAGGACTACGTGACCTGCAGGAGCCGTAAAATATCAAGACAAACTGCATGAATTATGAACAAAGAAATAGAAGTAGTATTACAGATGCAACCTTCCATCTTCATTAGCACTTCCCTTCCTTGCAGCTGTTGGAGATTCTGAAACGGAAGGAGACTTGGATACCGAACGCCTCAAGGGTGGCACTTTTCTATGGATATCATTATGGTTCCTTCGATCTCTTTGTGGTGACATTGATGAAACAGGAGGCCGACGTTCAAACAAGTCTGATCCTTCACCAGTCTCTCTTGGAAAGGCACGACGAACAGGAGAATGTTTTTCATGGGTTCTGCCACATTAATTTCCTAAGTTAGAACCACCTTAACAAATTAAGAACACCGCAGATAAACGGAACCTAGTGAAAATGTAATAGAATCTCACCCAATATTCTGACTATTACACCAACCATGTTCATATTACAATCCCTTACCCAATTCCGCCAAATTTCTCATGCAGTATTAAAAAACTCTACTAGGACTAAAATTCATGTCCACCAGAGCTCCATAAGGGGAGTGATATTAGCAGCATACGACACTCAAAAGAAATAAAAAATGGGAGTGCCAAAATACCTGCGTGTTCCTCTAGGAGATTGCATGGATGACCTTTGCTTAAGCTTTGGTGATCTTCGGATTGGTGAGGGGGACATACAACGAACCGGAGACGATGAACTCCATTCTTGAGGTGAAGGAGACCTATATCGAGGAGTTGGTGATCTTCTTCGGTGTAGAACAGGGGATCTATTTCGATGTAGGGATGGAGATCTACGCCGCGGAGTTGATGGAGATCTACGGTAGCGCAATCTTGCAGGAGATGGTGATCTACGTCGCACAGGCATTGGTGATCGCCGTCGTACAGGAGTTTGTGACCTTCTTCGAACAGGAGTTACCGATCGCCGTCGCATAGGAGTCCTTGATCTACGTCTGATAGGCGACCTTGGCCTATTTCGAACCGGTGACCGTGACCTACGCCACACAGGTGACCGTGATCGATGTCGCACAGGTGATCGCCACATGGGAGACCGTGATCGGCGACGTATAGGAGAACGGAATTTATGTCGCACAGGAGAAGGTGATCTGCGCCATGAACGTGATGTAGATCTACGCCTAGAATTAGAAGACCTATGTTTTGGAGGAGAGAGAGACTTCCGAGGAGAATGCCTCCGACGAGGTGTGACAGACCGTCTTGGTGAAGAGTGGTACATCCTTCCAGAGGAAATAGAGCGCCCTCTAGGTTCAGAACCAGATCTACTTCTCGACCTGGGGGAGAAAAGATAAGGGAATACAATAAAGTCAATTAAACTTAAACCATAAAGATCATACTCTTTCTGCTAGTATAAAAACGTACTTTGAACAACTTCTGGAATTGGAAAACGACTTGCTTATTGACCTTGAATGTGTGCCTCTGCACAAGAAACCCAAAAGCTTCATACAAAGAAATTCTCCAAAAAGAAAAGCATCAAGAATCAAAATAACAACAGCATATCAAAAGCATAATCAGGATAAATACCGAGGTGACAGAGGTCGACCAGCTGAATGGGGAGATTTAGAGACCCTATGGAGATGCAGTAAATATAATTAGTCCACCAAATCTGGGTAATATGCTAAAATTGCATCCACTAGCATATTTTATATCAAAATAGTTGTAACAATAGCTCAACACGCTGCTTACTAGGTGCGGCTTAGCCTTTAATTTAATCAACAATGCTAAGAACTAAATGCTAACAAAATAAACACTAGAACCAAGTAACACAAAAATTACTCCCCACACCCCCACCCTCAAATAATATTAAAAATTAAAAGAAGGAATTACAGAAAGCATATCACCAAAACGTATAAAGTGGAAAAGAATATGGCAATGAAAACCTAAAAAACTAGGCCGATCCATTGATATGCCTACTTCCGCACCAGGAAACCTCGATTCCACATGAGAAGTGAGAATGGAGGAGGCTATATATCTCCTGAGTACACGGGGAAGAAAAATGGACAGAAGTCATAAGAAAACCTCAAGACAACAATAAACTCTTCAACTCTATCAATCTTGAGTAGGTAAATTGAAACTTAATCACATATTATAAATCGAGGAACCAATATAAAACGAACAACCCAGCCAATCAATAAGAACCACAATTACACTAAAACCAGTAAGCCTAAACATAGAAGTTGTGGCAGCTTTAGGAATCAAACTAAGATCAGCAATTTTAGAACCAAGTCTCAACGTGTCAAACTCTACAATAAACAAAACCAAATTCATAACGGCCAATTGGTTGAAAGCAAGGAACCTGCCATGCGTTTTGAATGACACCAATTGGTACTAGGCAACAAGAAAACCTTATTGGTTGATAATCCAGAAAAAGAATTCCAACATATTCCCATTAAACTAGGTAGACAACAAGAGAGAAAAAAGTCCCTGTGAGATATAAATTGCATTCATCTCGTTAGGGTTTTGCCAACAAAGAGAACTTACTTTGTCCATGGAATACAAAGGCAGATAATAGTCAACCAAAAATTATTATATTTATCACGAATAAAAGTTCTCTAAAGTTATGGGCTGCTTTCCAATTCAAGTAAAAGTTTCGATATGACTCCACACAGAACCTTAAAACGTGAAATAGCCTCCAGAAGAAATGACATCAAAGTAATTAAAAAAAATTTTAATAAGGCTGTTCTTAAGTCTTGATATAACTTAACTATTTCCTAAAATAATAAAGATCAATAAACACCATAATAGATAACTCGAACCTAGATACAAACCCTCTTATAACTTACAACTACCAAAACACTCACATAATCCTTGCACTAAGAATATTTCTTGTTTGCCAAGGAACCTGAAGTCCTAGGTTTCGAGCTTCTGTATGCTGTCTTCAACCAAGCAATATATTAGGCTACTTCCCATTTTTCTTACTACGGCCAGGCAATCTAAATCCAGACGAACAAATGGACCAAAATATCTATACTAAAAGGGTTCCAGGAGGATGCAGAGATTTTGGGGCTATGCAAAAAAAAGGCAGGCAATATATTACCACAATTGAGCAAATAACAAATGTACTTTCTAGGTCTAACCTGCTCCTTCCTCTTGAGCCATTCCTTTCACTGGTGTCTTTCTCATCAGCTGACCTTGGCTCAAAAGCAGCAATATTAGCCCTCAGCATGTCAACCTCGCCGTCCTACAGTTTGAGGTAAAGGACATGAACCCATATAATTGCAGAAGCAAGCTGAATACCATGTTCTTTGTCGAGTTGACTAGCTTTAGTTCAAGAAACATAAACGGAAGTCAAAAACAAAAGGCCAGCTTTACAAAAACTAATTCTTGCATGGAAAAATTTATAAGTTACCTTCTTCTTCGTATTCTCTTGCTCAAGCTCCAAAGCTTCCTTTTCTTTCTTCCTCCGAATTTCATTTGCTATCCTATCCGTCTCTGCCTACAATGACCCAATTGCACCATTATACAAATAGGCACTATGACTACATAAAGTGAGCCACACATAATTTAGAAAAAGAATGGGACCATCTTCTTCCTAGTTTCCTCCTCTTTGGCATCCAGGAACTGCTGAGGGACCCCGCTTGAATTATTTTGTGCACTGAGAAGTAGCGACCAGAGCTCTTTCATAAACTTCCCAGTATTTTTCTCCATGAATCCTGTTAGCGCAATTTGAACCTCCTTTCCATTAACTTTCTGCAGGCAAAGAAAATGCCCTTCAAAATATTACTAGCGGCCAAAGAAAAACACAAAAAAAAAAAAAAATGAAAAAGCACACAGAAATTTCACTTCAAGTTTGGATTAAAATAGCAATTCCACATCCATAATTGCTCCATTCCATAGCTCATTTAATGTGTTTTCAAAGAAGAAAGACATTACAGAGTATCTGAGGATACATGAGTTAAAGACAATGAAACAGAAAATTAAACAGTTCACATTTTCCCTGTCACTTAAGTTTATCAACTGCCAAATAGATACTATCAATCGAACATGTAAATGACGCCCCCAAGAAGATCAAAAAAGGAAGCGTGGTCTAAATTACCTTCGCATCTAGAAGGCCATATATGAAGTTGATGAGCACTTCATCTTCAAATCCAAGAAGTTCAGTTACTCGGTGTGCAATCCATGGTCTCATCACATCCATCTTAACCTTCGTCATGTCCACCTAAACACACAATTCATAGGAAATTGGTAAGTACGATTTTTAAAAAATGGACAGAATTGAGCAAACTCCAACCAAATTCCCCCAAATATCGACACAAACTTTGAGAAAATGACGAACCTGGTGATCCAATTCAGGGGCGAACTTCTGCGATTTCAGCAGTTTGGCTTGTTTGTTCGAGAACCGAGTGTCCTGATCAGCCGACGTGCCCTACCAAAACACAATCAACC